GTCCACCTTAGTGACTTGCGCTTCTTCCGACCCAGCGACGACGATGAGAATACATCGTGGAGTTTCATCGACAGCGGTGCTTGTCGAGAAATTAATATACAGATTTTGCCGCCATCGGTCGATGTGAGGGTGGGTAGAATGCTGCGGAGCTTTTGGAGGAGATCGATCTGGATACCTCGTGAACCCTTTTGATGACAACATCTGTACCCAAGTTGTGAGTCTGCCCAGTGGATTGGCATCTCATCAAGTTTTTGACGTTCGCTGCGTTATAAGGAACCCACACAAGTCGGTGAGCTGAGCGCCGGGCGGCGCGATACGAATCGATGACCTCGACGAGACTCAGACAAAGTGGGCCCGACAAGAATCACATTTTTTCGCTGTGTCTGCCTGTGAGGGAGGCTTTCTGATGCAATCCGGCTGTTGGTAAGTTTCACAAGGCGTTGAGATAGCCCAATTTCGAAGACCTGGCCATAATGGGGTCCGTGTCACGTCGAGCGTCCTGAATGGTGCGGATTAAGGCGATCGCATGTCAAATGATGTTGCGTAGAAAGTGAGCAGTGCGCCATTCACGCAAGGAATCTGATTTTGTTGAAGTAAAGCACTCTTAGAAAGAGTGAACCGGACCATTGGGAGAGTTGCACGAAAGACGTAAGAAACTCAAAGAGGGCCCTTTCTGCCGCCATGAAGCGCTCTATTGCTGGACAAGGCGTGGGCCTCGTTACTCGGGACGAAAAACAAGACATCATTGAAGCGCGGGCTTGGTAGCCGCATTCTTCACATGCTTGATCGTGCCCCAGATGAGGCTTAGTAGATTGAGACAAGGAAACATCACGATACCTTGGAGCTCTCCAACTTGGCAGAGGCGACGGCGAACATGGGAAAGGCTCAAGCGCAATGAGGGCGTGATTGAGGGAGTAGCGACGGGCTGTATTGTTCCTGGTGTAGTACAAACTGGAAATTCGAGTGTACCAGTGTACTGTACCATTAGTCTAAGGTAAAATATCTCCGTCTTCCGTACGTACGAAGGACTGACGTCGATTTTCTCAAGCTAGCGCGGCTGCTCCTCACGGCATCGCGAAAGGCCTGGGACGATTTTGCTGATTCCGTCCCGGAAAATGCAGTTGTGCTTTGAATGTTACAATTGCTCGTCAGATGTAGAATTTCTGCCTGTGAGAGTACGACTGAGAGCGGACTCAGAAAGGACAAAATCCAGGCACCGCATGTTCCACATAAAAACTGCCAACCGACTCTAGCCTTTTTCGAACAGCATCACATTGTTTGCGACATGAAGACCCAAGCACCATCGCATGCGCTGACTACCTATGGGAACGGAGACCTAGACACTGCAAAATAAAAGCTCCCACATGAAGATCGGGAACTGCAGCAAACGCATCGGCTCATCGGTCCGGGACTCTGCTCGCCTTTACCTGTCTTCCATTGAGCTTTAGATATGGCCAAACGGCAAGAATTGGACTCGCCCAAAGCTGGTTCAAAAGGCGACGGACTCATTGACGCTCGAGAATCTTCCCTCACTTCCGCCACCTCGCGACTGCAGCCGGCATCGTTCAGTCCGGCAATGTACCTCGCTCGTCGTTACAATGCCAACATTCTGGCCTGGCGACCAGGCTCGGGCGACCTCAAACTGCCCGACGGTGTACAGATCAAGGCTCACTTTAATGAGTTTCTTGGTGCGTTCTTCAAGCTGTGCTTGTCGGACTCCTACTATGTGCGGATCGACATCCACACCGCCAGACTTGTTCTGATTATGATCGTGGGCTTCCTCACCATGTTCAAGCGCGTTCGAGAAGGACGCCTCACCCTCTTTTGTCTGCAAGCCTCGACAGGTGGTGCAATTGTCATCGTCCCCCACAGCACCAACTGCCTGCTGGTGAGTTCATGCAAGTCCTGATGCGGCTCCGCTGTCTAAAGCTAAAGCTTAGCGACCACACCTGCTTGAACCCCAATCTCTAGCTCTTCAAGTTCTTCTTCGGCGCTCTTTGGATCGCCTTCGAGTGGATTGTCGTCTCCATCTTCCATGGCCATGTCAGCGCGTTCATGCTTGGCTACTGGCTCCTATACCCTTGGCTCATCGTATGGTTTGCCGCTTGGCTGTCCGTCTAGGGCATGTTCCAGTCGATTCCCAGCCTGCCCTGGCGACAACAGCAGCCAAACGTAAGCGGACCTTCACTCTATTGGCGATATTTGGCTGCAAGGGCGAGCAATCCTTTTTTGGTACTGGTGTCCGCAGCGGTCTTAGGGTGTACGATTGCCTCTTGGATTCAGTTTGGCCGTCATTACAAGACCAGCGACGAGCGTCGACAAGCTTTGCAATTTGCCTTGGCCACTTCGAAAGGCACGGATCTGGCTGGACCGGAGGAGAACGCCGCCGCCATCAAAGTCTGGGAGTACTTCAAGCTGGCTTGGTGGTGGGGGACTGTCGGCTTCTGCGAGTGGACCGCCTTCGCCTGGCTCACCACCTTGTTCCAATTCATTGTGGGACTCGTGTTGGCCTATGAGCTCATCGTCCGCATGCGCGGGCTCGACAATCAGGAGAACGACGACGACTTGATCTTCTCTGTACCTCTCACGGAGCCTTTCCCGGTCGAGGTGGACGACGAAGAGGACGATCTGGACTTCGCTGCGCGCCTCAGCGTACCTCCGCCAGCGGAGCTCGGCGACAAACAGCGCGAATTTTCTTCGACAGATGTCTCTGCATCTAAAGATGGCGAGGGCCAAACTCCTGACTCAAACCTTTGCTCGACGACCAGATCGCCCAGCCTGAGAGTGCCCGTTGACAGACTCGGACGTCCACGGCGTGTTCAGTCCTCGGTCGTCTAGCGGCTTCGCAATCGCGAGCTGCAGCGCGAGCTGATCAACCTCCTCTTTCTTCTCAGTTATCTCATCTCGGCGCTCACTGCATACTCGATCGTCGTCATCGGCATCACTGCAGTGGACCTCGGCGTGATCAGCAAAAGTCCTGAAGCCCTTGCCCCGGCTTTCTATCACTACAATCTTGCCACCGGCTGGCTTAATATCGTGTGTGGCGGGGGCATCTTCCTGTCTGCTTCCTTCAGTCCTACGACAACTTCCTGTCCACGTTCCATACGTCGCTCAGTCTGGCAGCGAGCAGTAGCGGACGAGGGGCGAACGCAGTTTCGGTTGGACAGTACGACATCCATCTCCAGGAGGGGCGGTCCAGCAACCCACTGGCCGTGCCACGGACTCGTCACGGCTACATGCGCAGAGCAAGCGACGGCGCGGCCGATGAACAAGAGGAGGCTCTGCGACCCGAGGACGATGGCTTTGCGAGCCGCCATTTCTCCAGCCCAACTCGTCTCGTACCTCGATCACAAGGCCGACGAGGACCCGCCAACATGACGCAGACCCAGGTGTCGTCCTTTTGTTGAATCCAAGCCCGTCCTCGAATCCCAGTACAGAGTCGCGGTGCGTCCAAAAAAAGAACTATGGACCACCTTGCTAGTATCATGGACCACATTACTAGTATCTTGATCGCATTGGACGATTACCTGCCTCGGACATGATGTCACATACTCTCATTACGGCAAATCTCAACTTCTTCAGCGATTCTCCCCTTCTCCAATAGCAACGAAGAATAGCACAAAAGATCAAGGCAAGCAAGCATTGCCACTTGTAAATGAAAGGACAGCCAAGCCAAATAAAGCACTTCTCTTTCCCTCTTAGTCTGAGCAGTCGAGGCCATGAATGAGCATGGCGCAGGCAACTTGCAAATTTGTCCGTGGGCGCCGCTTAGGACGCTTTTCTCCGAAAAGAAAAATAAAAATCTTCGGGGAACAAACGCCGACAAGGAGGGCCTTAGCATGCGCTTATACTCGAAAAATTGGGACCTGCGCTTACCCGGCTCCGAAGTCTTCGGCATGTTGCTGGCCTACACAGGATGGAGAGAAGTAAACGGTCAGGAGGGAGTCCCGGGATGAACGAGCTCTCTGCACAAACGTGACGACCCGGGGTAAGAGTAACATCACGCTTTCCTAGAGATTGATGGGACGGGTCTTCTTGCCTCTGCACCAGTATAGGAAATCTTCTGGCATAATCCAGCGTCGGGAAAGCTAAACATGACCGAGCGAATGAATCGGAAGCACATGACCTCTGTGCGAACTTAGTGAGGTCCGTCGAGGCTACATTGACGATATTGATGCTTGCAGATATCGATCGCCTCAAGCACCTCTTCAGTCAGAACAGCTAGGCTTATTGCCCAACCTTCCATTGCATCATTTGTTTTCGTTTCAGACTGATTCAACGGACAGAGCAATGCACAAAATAAGGTTGACCGAGACAGTCCCGTGTGAAAAAGGGAAGCCGTACTTTTCCCTGGAGTCCATCGACTTCGCACGCTTTGTCCTCGCCCTCCTTCTTCCCACACCACTCCTTTCCTTGTGCAACCGAAGATGCCACGTCATTCCACAATCCCCGCCCTGTCAAAGGGCGCACTTCATACAGCTCATTGTATTATGTTCGGTCTCGCTGCACTGCATTTGCGTTCGTGCTACATCGAGTCGAGCTATCGAAGAAATCAAGATTTCTGTGATTTTGACAGCCCCTTATTGAATCCCGTTCCCGAAGAATTGAATCGAGCGCCGATCTTTATTTTTCGGAAATACACGGCTTTTTGCCTGAAAGAAAGACATGATGAGTTGCAGTTGGGCAAAAAAGGGGAGATAAAGAAGTGCACGCACCTTTCTTCGGGATCCGGGCAGTGATATAAGGTAAAAGAGGCAAGAGGCAAGAGGCGAGAGGCTCGAATGTCTGACGAGCTTGTGACGGACAGGTATCTTTCCCGTCTCCTCAGGCGGTCCGACGGGAGATACGGATTCAACTAGAGTGTTCTCTCGATGCACATGATCAAGACTTCCGACGGGGCTGCGTTAGAAGCGTTTATATTGTCGAAAAAGGTGAAATTAGCGAAGGGGCGTGTACAGGAGCCAATCTATGATAGCAGAATTGGCAAGTAGCTGGGCCGAGGAGAGTCTCTGCAATGATTGTTTTAGCAGAAGCAATTGTGACGGTGACGAGCAATAAAGATGGTAAGTGTCTCAATGCGCTTCCATTGAGAGCCGTACAAGAGCTCACGACAGCTTGAAGAAGACTGTCGATCACATCTTTCTCAGAAGGGTTGAGATTGGCGAGAGCGGCCAAGCTACGACTCCGTGAAATATTTTGATTTCTGTTGACACCACCTTCATTGAATAGGTGTCAATCAAAAAGAATATGTGAGACATTGAAATCCTCAGCAAGTCTACGGCACCCATTTTTCCGGTCAGAATTTGGAAGAAAAGGCATCCGAGAGACCGCAAGTCGCTTTTGACACCGTACTTTTCTCCTCTCAGCATTTTCTGTTATCCACAGAAAAGGGTTGAGACAAGGTAAGCTGCCCTAGCTCGTCAGTCTTATGCACAGATTCGCCACTTACTGGCGATCTGAAGCCAGGCGCATGCGTGGCTTGCGCAATAAGCACAATCGTACAGTACGATAGGATGAGGTACTTCTGGGCTTACACCTGCGATGCCCCAGCTTCCTTTAGTGTCTTTGTCGCGGAAATTGCCACTTCAGAGTCGGCGATCGTTGCACGAAAGGCGTGTTCGATTAAGACTGGCAAGTTTAATCCGTGAGTTTGGTCCTTTTCACATCAGCTAAGTCACCATCTCTGACGTCTTTGTGAGAGACGCTTACAAGTTTCATAATTGCTCACCATTGGAGGGATACTTGGTTGTCTTGGCCTTCATGAATATAAGGTGTTCCAGCGCAGACCTGCGCAAAGAGACTTCGTCGGAGCTCAATGCTGTTGCCCCCATCCGTCAAAATGAATGATTTTATGGCCGGACCTTACGTAGCTTTGTTCCTCTGGGCCAGAAACTTTTCCAAGTGTCCATAAAGCCCAAAAATCATAAGAAGGTGCAATGAGCCTTCGGTCTACACATTTGCTTTCGTCGCCACGATCTCTCCTTCTAGCCAACTTCACCGTCGCACGTCTGAACGAAAGGTTTCTGGCGATATTTTTCATTGCTGGGAAAGCTGCGAAGGCCACTTGAAGCGAACTTTGTCGGTCGATATTGGTCGGATCTGCGCAACAAGTGTCTGCGATTATTGAGCCGCCAGAAAATTTGCCCATGGAGTAGTGTTCTTCAGTCTTCAGCCGGCCATCCTCTGTAATAACTCGAGACAGTTTGATGACTCATGTAGTCGACACTTCCGGGCACGCCCCTAGCGCTAGGTGGTTTTTTAAACATCCATTCAGCTTATCAACCTAGTCGCCGCATTGTTGCGCACATAGCGGGGAATGTACAGAACTTAAGAGCGTGGATCTAACCCTTGATACGCACGACTGTTGTGAATGCTATTCATATTTGTGTTGAGAGTGCGAAAAATGGCGTTGCGAAAAATGGCATTGTATATTAGATGCGAAGCACAGAAAACAGAGAATCTCTCGCGAAACTAGCTAAGTCTACCACCTCTCTCTCTTTAAAAAAAAAGCGAGCGTACGAATAATTTCTGACTATTTGGACGCTTTTTGACCAACTATAGCATGAAAGCCAATGGCAGCGACAAGAGAAGAGATGCTTGTTTCTTCCGACACTGGCAGCACTGTCGGGGTAGGGCGCAGACGAGTCCCCCGCCTCCTCTAAATGGCTCGTATAATGGCTAGGAGGATATCTCTCTTTTGCACGCCTCGATGTCAGACGTGCTTGCAGACAGAGCAGTGAGTTTAGGTGCGTGCTACTTCAACAAATATCTCATGCCTCCCCGATCAACACAGGGAACGAAAAAAGTTCAAGTCATTTTTCCATTGGCCATGCCCTCGCTTGACAATGCACCCGAGTAACCTTGACACTCATTTGGTCCTCATCGTGATCGATATTTAGCAGTGCAACAATTATGCAGCCTCACCGCTTTCCACAACTTGTGCTGTCTGTACGTGTTACCCCAGCACATTGTATTATTTACACATCATTCCTCGTAAATTATCAAGGACGTCGAAGTTTTGGTTGACAGCAGGTAAAAGGAGCATAGACCATCTTGAGACACTAGTGCAGCTTCGGTCAACTTTCACCACAGCACATGCTTAGCGAACAACGATGCTCTTCAGAAACGATAGCGTGCTAGAAGAGTACTATTGTATGCTCCCTACTTCACTCGCTATTGTCTCGGCGGAAGGTCTGTCATTCGCAACTCTTGCTTCCTCCGTAAGCCAGAAACATATCATGGTGGTCACGTGTCATGGAAATGAACTGGGGCATTCATTCCACTTACCGTCATTGAAAGGCTAATTCGGGCGCTTGTGGATGGTGCTCAAATGAAAGTCTTAGGCTGTGGCTCAACAGCACGACGTCTCGCAAGATCGAAGGAGCCGCCGACTAGCAGAAGCATTTGCCTATAATGCTGCACGTCTGTGTATGTACGTCCATCCGTCTGCACAGCGCGGTGGTCCTGCACCTACCGTCCTAAGCGGGATCACGAGATAAAAGCAAAAAAAGACAAGACTTGTGCTAAGCAGGTGCTTGATAGCAACTATCTCCTTAAAAATCGTGCATTTTGGACACCTTGAGGGAGACGAGTGGGTCGCCATAACTTGATTGGCCACGATTCTTACGTGCAGCAGCTCCGATTTGAAACCAGTTGCCTCGGCTGCTGCGGATTGCTACGTCACCAGGAGGAGAAAGCGAAGCTTGTTCTGTGAATCGGATGCATCACGGGAGCAAGGGTAAGACATTCATGATGCCTTGGAACGCACAGAGCAAGCCATTTCGTGGCTGGAAGCACCTTTCTGTTAAGCTTGGAACCGCATAATTGGACTGAGCAGAATTCAAGAGCGCAGTACAGCTCGGGCTCAAGGATCTTTTCGGCCTGCTCTGTTCCGCTTTGCTGGCCAGCACTTGCAATTGATAGGGAGCTTCACTGGCTCAAATGTGAACTGTAGTCTTTTGACCCCTTTTGTCTACGAAGTCCGACGTTCGCCTCCTCCCGGGAGTTCGAGATTGTAAGGTATAGCTGGCAGAGCGCAGTGCAACAGCCAAGACGATGATGACATGAGTTCTCACGGTAGTCATCAAGAAGAAGAGAGGAGGGCTGCGGAAACGCTTCGCAGAAACGGGTCACGGTTCGCCTTAAGAATTCTCTTCGCAATTTGGGCATCCATTTTAGCAGACGCATGAGATCTAATTTGGGGTGTCTTGGTATTGAGTAGACCTTACATTGTGAGACTATCTGGCCGCTTGTCCGCCTCTCACCCGAGCATCGCTAGCTGCCATCAAAGAGCCGATGATTGTATAGCGATCAAAGACGCTCTCGATGGGAACGCCCTTCCATACAAGCTCGTACGGTCCGATCTGGTACTTCTCGTGGGGATCTTGAAGCACTCCGCAGATGGTTTGATGAGCCTCATTGGTGTCGCGCAGCGCGCTCCGGCGCCTGCCTTAGTCCGGCCCTGGTTTTCACACCACCTGACGCGCATTTCCCCCTTGCCCTCTATTCAAAAGCGTACGTGTAGCAAGGTACGTTACTCATCGGGCAGATGTCTAACAACGAAATTCGCCAATTCGCGATAGGTCTCGAATGAATTTGTTGGTATCGTACTGTTGTCTTTGCGACGCACCAAGCGATCAAATAGATGTTTAACACTGAACATAATAATTGCCTTGCGTTGGTCGTGGAGGAAAACCAGGCAGCACCGAACCTGAACTCGTAACAAAAAAGGGACGGCGTGGGCACGTTCCTCAAGTCACGTGAAGAAGGGGCTTGCGTGTCGTTCTTGCTTTTCATCTGTAAAGTACCGTCGCGTGGGATCCCGCCCGCTTCCAAATGAAACAGTGTCCCGCGCATGCTTGTATTTCAACGCCTGCTGCGACCTCCATGAAGAGCCTCATAGCCTGAGATTCGACATGCTGGTAGTGCCGATGATTTCGCATATCTTCAGAAAAAAGAACGGATTTCTTTCAGTATGATACTGAGAACGGGCAAGAATGAAAAAAAATCACAGTACTACTCCTTAAACACCAAAATTTCATGCTGTCAACATGCATCACTCTTTTAAGCATATGTGAAGTCTCTCAACCTGGGGTGTGATGTTTCAAAATTGAGCGGAGCATTGCACAAGTACACATGAAATGTGCCGAGGAGGTTCGAATAGGCTTCTACCAGCACGATAGTCCAGACAAGCCCAATCCGCTTGTTCCTCGATTTTGTGCCTCAAAAGACTTTGACATTTCTGGGCCAGGTGGAACTTGGGCCACAAGTTGCTTCATGTAATCCTGCTGTCCAAAAGACCAGCCAGGGAAGGGAGCTCAGACTCTGAAGAGCTATTCGGTGGTACTTGGCGTCCTTCTCCAATGCTTATGCGGCGAGTTCTACCTCACTTGCCCGCTTGTTATTCTCTGTCTATAATTGGAAACCTTACACTCTTCAGTGCGAGGAATTTAGAAATCGTGGAAATGCTGAGTGTGTGGAGACATGCTGTCTTTTAAGATAAAACTTCGAAGAATCTGTCTTGCCTCAAAAAGAAGCTCTAAGTCTCCGAATTCTCAACGAGTCTCATGATGTTGCAGTGTGCCAAATTTTGAGTGAAGCGCTGCTTCTTGGGTAGCACTCTTTCGTTGCTCAATATTGTTGCTGACCGTGATGATCTTAAGAGCGAGCACCTACGGTCTTTTTGGCTGAGCGCTTTTCGCCCAAGCTTTGCTCGTCGTATAACTTATCGTATCTTTTTGTCTGAATCTCGCTCTATTTCGAAAACATTGCCAAAACCTCCTTCGCCCAGCAGAGGCCGACCAACGTACAGAGGTCTCGCTAGCAAGGGACCAGTTTTCGTCTTGTCGCAGGCCGTGCATTTATGAGCCGAAGCAGTACGTGAAAATAATGGAGTGAGCCATGCGCCAGTCAGAGCTTCAGCTACAAAATCAATACTACTTCGGGCAAAACCCCATTTTTTGGTCGGACAGTATGTGCATCGTGATGAGGGGCTGATTTGATGAGGTGGTGACACCATAAAGTCACGTGCTCTCGGCGACTTACAGCCGACAACAACAAACTCCGACTGTCGGACAGCGCAAGGCATAACGATTCCAGCTATCAACTTGTCAGCTTTCTACCTCAGCTACTTATGCTGTCTCTAATGTTTGCAGTGACAAGGTGACACAAACCCGATAATTAAACTTCGTTCGAAGTTATGATATTCGATATATTTCTGATTCCCTGCTCAAGTATTTCAATGAGTTTGTAACTATCGCTGTTCAACCCCTGTGGCTCGAGCTTTCAGTTTCTCTTTAGCTACCTTCTGAAGTGTTCAAAGCCATGCAAACACCATAGTTGCGAATGCACCGCTCAGAGTCTAGTGGTAGGCAGGAGAGTGGCAAAGGAACATATCGAACATGAGGATATCGATCCAAATTTCTATGGCAAGCGACCCACAAAAGTCCGCGAAATTTGGCGTAACCTGCTTCACATTTTACTACATCGAAAGACCCGGCAGAGCTCTTGAGGCTATTATCGAATCTCTTCTTAGTCACGTTTGTCAATTTTGATAGTCCTGAAGCTCAAGAGGTATTCGCTATGTGATTTTGTACGCTCACATCGTCTGAACTTTGGGAGCTCCCCTACGCAGCGATGCACAACGAATGAATTTCTGCAAGGCGCTGACCTAGCCCGGATTCTGCATTGCTGTAGCATTTATTCAAATTTTTTTCCATATCATGGTTGTTGATATGACCGAAGCAGCTTTGGGGTCTTACCACAGTAGTGGCACACGAGGTTTGGCATACGCTGTGAAGCAGACGGTCCATCGGCATCAGAAAGCTGCGAACTCTTACATATATACAAGATCGCTCTCACAAAAATGCCCTCAGCCGCTCACTCAAGCACGTTCGGCTCTAAACTTGCTCATAGCAATGATTCTTGGATCGACTTGGGCGATGACATGACCGCTCGATAAATCACTCCAGCCGTCTCTTTCCGTTGGTGTTTTGGTGTTATTACATCGCTCGTTACAAAAGCTTGCGAGAAAGCGGAAGCACTACGGTGCTCATTTGTGGCGGGCTCTTTTGCCTTCTTCTTAGGTTCTCAGCTACTATTTTTGAGACGGCGTGAGAGATGTCAGGCACTAAGTTGTTGCTCGGATCCGTCAACGTCTACTTCGCCGCTGCTATGATCAGCCCGTATTGCTACTCGTACCGTCTTCGGTTTTTCCTTAGCTGGAGGCGAGTTGACTCGATCTCATCTTTCAAGAATTGTCGGTTCTTTCCAGTCTCTTCTAGACAGTATCGGAACGTTCAGAACAGGGAGAAAAGAATCGTCACAGAAACAATGGGAACAATGTGAGCAACGGGGACAATAGGGACAATGGAAATAATGGGAAGAGTGGGAATAATGGGAATAATGGAAACAATGGAAACAATGGAAACAATGGAATCCGACACTATACTGAAAGTCTAATTTAAGCGAGAATACGGCTCGTATCCCTTAGAAAGGCTCTGCGACAAATTATCTTCTCTTCTGGGGATAAATGCGAGCTCTCGACTTCGACTCTGGTCAACAGACTCGGCCTCAGTGTACGGTACGTACGGTACAGCAGAGATGAGGACTATTGACACTACTGCTTACTTTCTCCTCGATATGTAACATCTGTTAGTGCGAGATCTGGTAGCCTGCTCGGTCTCCCTTTCAAATAGACGACAGGCCACTCGAGCTTTAATAAGGGTATAAGAGAACCTTGTCGCAATCGCTATAGATCCAGCACCGAGGGCAGAAATCATTTCAAACTACCAAGACGGCTTGTCTTTGAAGATCACCGAGTGACAATATATTTTGAAATTTCATGCCACGTTGTCTCGGGCTCGACTTTTTTCATTTTTTTATTAGCGGACTTAACTTTTAGGCCCGGATCATCCAAGACACTTGCATGCGGAAAAGAGTGCGCAATTTGAGACTATACAGCGGTTCGCGCAAGCAGAATATCGCTGAATGTTTCCTTTCAAAGAATCGGAATACACCTACACAGTCACTTATTCTTTTTTAATAGCTCGATCGACACAACCCATGTTCTGACCCCAGACAACTGGCTTGAGATCGATAGTAGGCAAGAACTGTAAGCACCGTGTCGGATTCGCTTCGTCCGAAACCGCTCTAATATGTTAATTCCAACAGGCGACAATGTTCGCAAATTGCAATCCAAGGATTCTCGGGTTGCAACTCTTGGGTTGCAACTCATAAGTCTGAAATTTCCCGTGAGGGGAGGGGGAGGGGGGGCACGGTCAGCGGCGTCGAGTTGGCTCCTTCCTGCTTCGGCAAGTGGAGAGATATTGTCGGCGTTGCCCGATGTCATCTCCGTCAGCAACGACGCCGACCGATTCGCAGCCAACCTAGCTCTGCCCTCAGCGCGCTGAAACAATACTTGTGTCTTGAGGCAGCTGAAGTCCCTCGTTGGTCAAGACATCGGAGGAGAGCCATCATAAGTTACACCATTGGTCAGTCAAAACATCAGAGGGGGACCATCATAAATATAAGAATGAGCGGCTATCCAAGAAGGGATAGCGTCGCGCTTGTCCTGCTGCTTGTGCCTGCTCGAAGTTTTTCGTGGTTTATAAAGTGGACGCCGTCAAAGACGTCGTTCTTGTTCCGACAAATGCCCCCGATCATAACCCGAGTGCACAGTAGAGAGAGACGCGTCCATGACCACCCATAGAGCGCAAACAATGATGCTGATATCCAAGTCAAACCAGCTGGAAGTGCGAATAGTAAAGTGAGCTGTGCCATGCAGATGTAAATAGATGTGAGCTGTGCCTGTGCAAGTCATGCAGCATATGCTATTATGAGGAGACGACCTGGGTCAGCAAAGGAGGATGTGCGGTGGGAGGAAAACGTCAATGAAAAATGCCGCTGAAAAAAAAAAAAAAAACGTGTTGCGCGGTCTGAGAACGGATCTCTGTCATGAAGTCTGTCATGACCACTGCTTGTGTCAGCAATGTATGTCGATTGTGTGTCATGAGATCATGTGACATGGGTCCTGGGTTTGCTGAGGCATGCTTACATAACTAATCACGTGGGTAATGTCGATTCGAGATTCAGTTGTGACTGGTAGGATTAGCACCGAAACAAGCGGCTTCTGCCACGAACGCAAGACCATGAGGTCCGTCATTCACCTCTAGCATCAATCGCAGGCGAGAGACCGAGAAAGCCATTTAGCTGCAAGACGTTTTTCAAGTTGGCCTACATGACGGAGAACAATTGGCTGCGCGGAGGCCGTCTCTTGACGCAGCACGTCTCTTCTGATGCTGCTGCTGACGCAGGTTCCGTCGTGACCAGCCTCTCCATCGACGATGAATGGATCGTTGTAGGCATGGCTAACGCCAAGATCCACGTTTTCGATGTTCGAACCGGTCTCTTTGTCCGCACGCTTGAGGGTCACTCTTCAGGGGTATGGTGCCTAAGTCTCATCGGCGCTTGCAAGCCCCGTCAGCCTTCGGCCCAGCCACAGGCGCCCCAGAGCCCCACCTCGAGTGGCGGCGCTCACGGCGGCGGTGGTGGTGCTTCCTCTACAGCTGCACACGAGGGACCTAGCACTGGCTCTGTCTCGAGCCCTTGCAACAGCCAGCGTCCCCTCTACACGCCCACGCCTGATCTCAACCTGATCCACCACGATCCTCGTCCCACTGCCAGTGCCTTTTCCCCCGAGGTTGCCTTTGTCAGCCTACCGGACAGCCTACCGGAGGACGAGACGCCTGGGATGCCTCGCTCCCGCAGCACACTCGGCCTCGAGACGGACAGCAAGAGACAGCAACACTCGTCGTCCTCGTCGCAATCCTTCTCGATGCACCTTGGACGAGGCACTTGCGTCTTTGATTCTTCGCCCCCCAATTTCACCAACTGGGATCAAGAGCAAAATAGTGGCGATGATGCCAAGCCCAAGACCAACAAAAGCCGCGGAGCTGGCCTTGGCAGCAATTTTGGAAGTCCCTGTGGGAGCGTTAGCGGCTTTGGCAACGAGGGCGCTATCGTCGTCAGTGGGGGCTGCGATCGCGATGTTCGCGTGTGGGATCTCACCACGGGCAAGTGCCTTCACGTCCTTCGCGGTCATAATTCTACAGTGCGATGTCTCCGAGTCCTGGAAGGTCGATCCCTAGCTATCTCCGGATCGAGGGACAGTACGGTGCGCGTTTGGAACATCGAGACGGGTCAGCTAGTCCACCTGCTCTCAGGACATCTTCATTCTGTTCGTTGTCTGGATGTGGCCGGCAACAAGGTTGTCAGCGCCAGCTACGATGCCACATGCCGCATTTGGGACATCGATACAGGCGAGTGCCTCCATGTCCTGCGCGGACACTATCACCAAATCTACGCAATCGCCTTTGATGGCGTTCACGTTGCCACAGGCAGCCTCGATTCGACGGTCCGCGTGTGGAGCGCGGAGACTGGCGAATGTCTCGTCGTGTTTCAAGGTCATACCTCGCTGGTGGGCCAGCTACAGCTGAGTGACAACATTCTCATCACTGGAGGTTCCGACGGAAAGATTATGGTTTTCTCGCTCGATACATTCACGACGGTCCACCAGCTCCTGGCTCACGAGAATAGCGTCACTTGCCTTCAGTTCGACGATCGCTTTATCGTCACCGGCGGCAACGACGGTCGCGTGAAGCTGTGGGACTTTAGGACAGGGGAATTTATCAGAGAGCTCTCGGAGCCCGGCGAGCAAGTCTGGAAGGTCTCGTTCAGAGACGACAAGTGCGTGGTTCTCTGTCGGCGAAACGACCGGACAGCCATGGACGTCATATCATTTCGCCCAATCGAAGAACCCTCTTCTTGATTGCGTCTGCTCATAAAGCTTTCGTAAAGACATTTGAGGGTTAAGGATTAGGGTTACACCGCAGTGCCAGGATGAAGCGACCGGGTCTTTACCACGAGACGTACATCATTGAAGAGTGTGAATCAAGGGCAACCCGGTCTATCAAAGCGAAAAAAGGGGGATTGGCACGTTGTAAGAGCTGTGCCAGGAGCAAAAATGGAAAAACCCTTAAGCATAAGTAGGGTTAGGGTAAGGGTTACTCGGTACTGGTAGCAACCGCGGTTTAAAACGGAACGAACTTGATTCGAAAGTGCGGAACGAGGATTACCCAGTCTAATAGAGCGAAGAAAGAGGGGTTGGCGCGTTGTAGGAGCTGTTCTAAGACCAAAAATGAAAAGCACCCGTCTCAAAGTCGAGAAGTAACACTTGGAAAAGTTTTGGAAAGACTGACGTCGGTCGTCGCCAAATTGCCCGTCGCCAGAGGGCGAAAGCATAGGGCGGGCACATACAACCACTTTGCGTTACCCGATGGTTTTCTCGAATGTGGGTATGGCAGTGCGGGCTCTCCATTGTCTTTATCATGGGCCATCAACTCGAGCTCGTAGTGTCCGTCGACAGATTTAGACTCCAATCTCTCTAAAAATTGTGCCAGGCTCTCAATTCTAAGGATAGCAATGTCATAGGCAAAAGCTTTGCGCGGAGCAGGTCGAGACAATGCTGCTGCTTGCACGTCTTGTTCAAAGTCACTTCGTCGTGGGACCTCATCTGCAAGGCTGGATTGACCGATTTCGACGGCGACACATAAGTATGTTTCTACATCGTCTGTCCATAGGCCTGAGTGGATGCAAGGACATACGACGTTTGACATTTTGAGGGATTGTCGGTACATCTGCGAAATCCACCATCTGCTGATTTGTCCGAATCTTTGGTGGTGGTAGGCGATGCTTTTCATGACAATGGTGGATAAAATCGACTCCGAGAAGGCGATTTGGACAACTTGAAGGTGTCGGAAAAAACGTGGGTGCAGGGGACTAAGCTATTTTTGAATTATCGGTGCTCGCGATCACCACTGATTTTGAGCAAGACGAAGCCCCTTCGCCTTCCGGCTGCTGAGACCGAGAAATTGATGAGTCTCATCAAAAGAGAGGTACCCATGCGCTCCTTGTACTAGTGCTGGGTTAGAGTCAGCGTCACTTCGAAGCCTGAAGAGCAGCATTGGAAGGCGACTTGATTCGGTAGCGTTCAGGCAAAAGCAAATTTGGTAGAACACAAAGCGCATGATATTTGCGAAATTGTGATCTGTTGCAACGGTGTACCAAGACAGGACACTAAGCAGCGAATTGGACGCGGGTCGAATTTTCTCCATCGGCCGAGAGGAAATAATTACCGCTCAGACCTCCCTCCATCTTCGTATCCTCATCACTTGCCGGGGGAGGAGCGCACCTCGCAAAACTTGAGGAGGATGATTTAAAGAATTGAAGAAAAAAAGAAATGCAATCCCGCTTAAGCTCGAGAGCAGTCACGGTCGCTATGCGTCCGGCGGCAGAACAAAAGACGCAAGTGCCTAATCCGAACGGCAAGGACGGTCGCAGCGATGAGCAGGACGGGTTAGCAACGGAGCCTGCAACGGAGAGATAGCAAATCCAGGCAGAGACGAGGGAGAAGACGAAGACGAATTTCCATCGCACCATGATACCTCCTCCTCCTCCTCCTTCTCCTCTGATCGTGACGAGGTGCGGCCCCAGTGCGGCATGGCAAGCGGGCTAATGCCTCTAACGATGAGGATCGCGCAGGCGCCGAATATGCAGTACCGGAACATTCACTCTCCACAACGTCTCCCGCGAATCAACATCGAACGTGCCCGTGGTGCCAGCGCCGCCACCACCATCACCGTTGCTGCCTGCAGCAGCAACAACAACAGCAATAGTGGCAGAAGCAGCACATATACCGACGTTATTGACAAAAACGGCAAGGGCAGGGCATGCAGTCGGCCAGTGGCAAGCGAGCGACCTCGGCCAGAGGCGAATGGCGTCTTCACAAAGACACTTCGACCTGGCACTTCTCTCTCTTGAAGAGACCAACGCATCACTCCAGCCCGGATCTCACGAAGGTGATCCGGTGGCTGCTTCACCAGGCATAGGTTTGGAGCTGTGAAGGGTATTGACGGAAGCCGGCAGTACCGGCCCCCTTAGTCAGCAAGAGGCCAGTGATATACACCAGGGACATTATCATCATTATCATCGGCAAAATTCGCCTGCTGTCGGTCTGGCGGCAGCAATATCGTCGTCCTGGCCCGCATTCTCATTGGACAGCTTCTCCATCGAGCAGACCATGGACGTCTTTCAGCTTGGATCGAGTATTGCTCTCTTGTTCTGGTCCCATAAACATCTCGAGTCATTCCGAGCTCGTCGCTACGTCTTTTGAAAGCTATTGAAGACCCACAGGATGCTTGGAACGCAGGTCAGTCCACTCTTTGGGATCCTCCTGGGGCCAGTCCGAGCAAGCAACAGGCCCAGGAGCTAGATGATTAACCCGCACGTGGAAATACCTCGTAAATTCCGAAAGACATGCAAGCCAGCTCTAGTGTTCATTTCCAATCCGCATAGCTCCCTCCGTTTTCTGAGTCTTGATTGGTGAGAGCGTGCTATTAAAGTGCAATGACATTGTTCAAAGGTGTCAAGTCTCTTTAAGTGCTCGACGAAGACCGATAAGCAATCAAGGTTGAGGCGTGACGAGCGCTCTGGTGCTGCATGCAGTTGTCCTGACGTGAGTACTTTTTCGTACACCCATAGTATGGACAACGAGAAGGGTTTCATGGACACAGCTGTGACGTTGCGCGTGTCCGCTGGTCGCTGACAACCTGGAATGGGGCAAATGTAGCGCGTTTCTTGAAAAGTAGAACCGTTCCGTTCCTTCATTTGGTCAATTGGAGTTGATGAATAGTCATCTCGCCTGTCGATGAGATTCCCTTTCGCTCAGTTTTGTCGAGCCTTCTGCCGAGAGAAGGGGCTCATTGGAAAAGGTAAGGTGCTGGTGACAATGCCGCTGGTTTCTGGTCCAGGCGGCGGCTTTGCTTGTCGATTGCTATTGCAGACTGAGCCACCTTGCTTGTAGTACCGAACCACGAGAAAGCTGATACTGTTCCTGCAGACAGCTTAATGGAACTTGCCGCTTCATTTGGGACGTCATTGAAAGCCGGTTCCATTCTGCCTTGCGTTGGAAACGATCTGCCTTGCGTTATCAAAAGAGGGGCGTTCTAACTCGGGGTCTTTTGAGCCATAGGATTCCCTGACAGAGCGAAAAAATTGAGGTAGAGCAATCTCGAGACGTTGCTCTCTTGACGTCCCTTGTAATGACGTGCACTAGCTCTACAGCGACCGCGAAAGGTCGAAAAATCGTTCCGACAAAGGATTGTCGGAGCAGTCTTCGGATGACCGTAGCACTTCTGGACAATCCAGAGGCGGCAGAGCTTGGTCGCATCTGCCGAATTAGTTCCAAAATGAGAGCAATTCATCACCAGGTCTTCTGGATCTTTGAGTATGATCGCATATTTCGCGTCCGTGGACGTCATTGCCTGGCATAGCGGCGGATGTTGAGCTTCGAAAAAAATTGTTGAGTATAGAAAGCTACACCGCTTGAAACGGCCGAGACAGGCGAGGTGTAACATTACCACAGAACAGTGCTGGATAGAATTACCATTGTTCGGTGACGCTTTGCTGGTGTCGTAATACTGTGCTATCCTTTACAAGCTCTTACAATACTCTAGCTCGCAGAGTTACTAATGCGTTCGTTCGTTCCCGTACCCAAATTGCCGCTCTTCCTACTGCTAATCACGCTTGAGTAAGAAAGACGCCTTGTTCCTTCACTTGCGCTCCACGACAATACCCCGACCCATCGTTCATCTGGTGAGAACGATGCCCACACCGTGGCCTTCCTGACCATTCATACTTCATCATAACCGCGTCCTCTCCGGCTTTCCCCGCTTCCTTCTGAAGCTGCCGAAAAAACAGTCTATTGAGGTGGCATAGTGGAATGCTGAGGTAATTAAAAACACAAAAACAAGTGCCAAAAAGCGTATGCGGAGCAAGTTTAAAGAGTTTGTTTGAAATCCGGATGAACCTGTCTGGACGCCGCTCAAGTAAGTAGAGGCGGTGACCAATCAGTGCTGGCACATACATACCCTTCGCTCCCCTCGACGATGGTCTGTGCATGCTCACGGGTTACCACCCTCACGATTGGCTCTTTCTGTTGATCGACTTCTGACCTGCTGATACGCTTCAAGCTTCTCTTGTGTTCTCACAGCTGGACTGCTCCGATGAGTCATTACGCAAAGCCAGAGGGTTCCCATGAGGGAGTCTTTTACGACGCCGCTGTCCACTGGGTAGGAGCGCACCTACCGAACGAGTACTGTGTGCCGCAGTAGGTACCATCGACGAGCGTGTCTGCTGGCGTCAGACTCACGTGCCCGACCCAAGATCCTGCCGCGTCCACACGAAGGCACTGCACGCCGCACATATCGGCTTCGACTTCGGAGAGATAGGAGGCCATCGTGCGAACGACAACGTCGCGATGCTTGGACTCGCTGCAGTCTCCGGTCACGTACACCTCCCAATGCACTTTGTCGAGGGGCCGCGTGTGTATAGTGTACTTGCAGCCAGAAGGACGGCCAATCCAATATCTAAAGACTCCCAAGAGGCAGTGTAGAGCGATGAGAGCCAGGGCCCAGGGCCAGACGCTGTCGAGCACCCGGTAGCGAGGACTAGCGGCGGTGGAGAAGCCAGCTCGGCTGTTATCGCGGCGATCAGAGTGATAGCACCAAACGGCAACTGTCGAGTCCCAAATGATGAGCAGGCTTAAAAAGAGGGACAAGGTGGTGTAGCTATCGCACTGGTAATAGAGAAGGAAGGCGTGGGTGAGGTTGCAGGAGATGATGAAGGAGAGCGGTGCGAAGCCCAATTTGGATTCTTCTCCGTCTAAGGGCGAGGCAATGGGAACTGCCTTTTCTGGTGGAGGCGAAGCCATCATCTTTACCAAAAGCCCTGCGAGTGCCGGTGGTGGGGTGATGAGGTGGAAGCAAGCTGGTGTGGACATTCTTTGTTTACCCTTGCGTGGCATCCCGCTAACGTTACTTACCGAAAATGTGTCCCGCGACGCTTTAAATTAGCCTAAACTCATACTTCGGCACCAGAGAGATCTTGCATGTTACTACAACTTTCCTCAGCCTTATGCAACACCGCTGCAGCAAGATTGAGTGCGACATTGTCAAAGGGCATCAGGTACCAGGCAGGAGGGTTTTCTTGTTATCTGTGGCCTTGTTGAAACTCTCGAGCCAACGCAGCATACCTCTGTGTTATTTGGGCCATGCTGATTCCACTCAACAGCACAGTTGCCAAAGGTGCTGGCGTTCTGCTGTACATCCAATTGTCAGTTAATGAGATCGGCGCTCCTAGCGACAGAGGAAATGAGAGAAGCCGGGGTGTCGGCAACTATACACCCACGAGCTGACATCACCTGAATGAAGGGAGCGCAGACACAGGCGATGTCTTGATGAATCATCAATGGAGAGTTACAAGCAATGAGGACGAGCTCAGCGACGACCCTTCGAGGTAGTCGATAAATCACTAGTGGCCATTTTCGATTCTGGAGCAACGATGCATAACACTCCAAAGCGAGAACATTTCTAAATGTACGAGAAAATCGGCAGCTAATCAGAGATAGGGGCGGGTAGGCAGGGCACACTTATAGCCGTAGAGATCATAGTGATCCGGTTGCCATCAAAGGGGGTATCATGAACCTTGTACCTCCCTTTATGACAACAAAGTCTTAGTTCATCTCTCCCTCTCAAGAAAGAGTCTTTAAGAAAAAGTCTAATTTCGACAGATGCGAGCCCTATTCCAAAAGTAAAGTTTGCGATCACACTGCGTAATTTCAACCGTATGTGCCTTGAGAAGAAGCTTGCAAGCCAACAAAGAAGGGTGTCTTTCCTGCACGGGTATTTATTTACCTTAAAGGTGTCACCACGCGGAAGACCGTGCACGTGGATACCCCAGATTCTACCAGCTCGGCAATCTTCATTCGTGCGATCACATGGTCGAAATGGCGCTTGTTACTTACATCACTTAGCCTTTCTTTTTACTACCACCTCGATTTCCTTGCTGGAGATGTCCGAGCGACTTCCCGCTCAATTGGTGTTCGATTCGGCATCAGTTCCGCGCCAAAGACCAAGAGCCAGAGCTGTGTCTGCCAAATGCTGCTGTTACAGCTTCGCTTTGATCATCGCCGCCTTCGTTCTCTGCGCCTTCGCACTTCTGGCGCAGACAACCTACAAAATCGCCCGCAACATAGCTTCGCCCCACGAAGATCTGACCGCAAAGAGCACGAGCATTGACGTTATCAAACCCCTGATTAACAGCACCTCCCGTTTCGACATTCTGGCTACGGTCTGGCTTGATGTCACTCAGCATGTCGCAGCCGGCAAGCAGCTCCCGTCGGAGACTAGGGTGGTCACATACACGTCTCCCGCTGGTCCGGAGCGGTCGGAAGCTATTCTATTCAGCGGTAACATTGTCGCCAATACTACTATGTTGAGCCGTGTGCACGGCAAAGCAAGGATCAAGGTACCGATCGAGCCGCTGTACTCGCAGAGTCTCGGGCCTTCGACATTGCGCGCTACCTTTCAGCTGAAGCCACATGACCAGAGCGCTCTCGGTACATTTGAATCCAACCGCGCCATCTACCCTGCTGGCTTGCCGGTGGGCCCACGTTCGCCGTCTTCCCCTTTGCTTTTCAAAGAGAAGTCAATCAATGAGACTTCGCGCCCAGGTACTTTTACCGAGGCTCTGGAGCATTCTTCGGTCAATGCGAACCTTCTGACGCTGCTTCCTAGCAAATGGAGACTCGAGGATGCTATGGATAATTTACGGGAGCGCAAGATGGATGATCTCGTGGACCCGTACTTTGACAGATCCGCGGCCAACTGTGCGTTTGCGAACAGAGACGACGTCAATAGTCATGGTCGACATTTGTACGTTGGCAAGGAGCAACAATTGATGATTCCCCATATCATCACCCGCACCCGCCTGGTCCTCGTGAAGGAAGAGCGAGAATTCGATGCTGTCCACTATATGAAGAGGTGGAAGGAGGCCATCAGTCAATTTTCCGCCGCTTGTAAGGATATCGCGGAACGCGCCGCTACTTGCTCGAGGCCATACCAATTTTCTCTCTTTGAAAACCTCATAAGCACAAGGATTGTAGAGGGAGAGCCTTCGCGGCATTTTTACGCCCCTTTCCTTGTCCAACCATGGCGAACGATTGCACCACGTCATCACCGAACACTGCCCCTTTCGAAGTCATGGGAGGCTGGCGCTTTACCAGTAGAAGCGGACGAGGGAAAATGTCTTATTCCGATGCTTGACGTGGACGCATCGGGGGAGCACTTTGTCCTGGATTGGGATGTGCCCTTCTCATCCCACAGCCACATGCGCGCTTCCATGGCTGAGACGGTACATTCGCAGCAATCGCTGGCGACCTCGGCCAGTGTGACCATCCTCGAGCTACCGGCGGCGCCAAGGGTGAATATAAGCGAATCTAGCGACATCGAATGGCAAGTCCAAGGTGAGTGACGCACACGCTGACCTCGAAACGGCCTGTCTGACCCGTCAATTACCGTCGCAAAAAGCCTACGGATTCGGAGATCGCGAACACCAAAAGAGCCGGCCGACCCTCTCCCTGTTGAGTCACGCTGTTGAAACTATCTTCTGGCTCATTTGCTTGCTACTCTGTGAGTATACTACGTAATTCTTGCTGGCGCCGGCTTATTACTTTGTTCTGTCCCAGTGGAGCCACTTTATTGGTATTCCCGAGAAACCAGCGCGGGTCTCTCTGGTCGCGGCCAGTGGATGTTGATCGCTGCAGCTTGCCTGGATGTCTGGCCACAAGTCAACGTGCCGCGAAGCTTTGACTTTCTCAGCATCACTGCTCTTCTGTACCTTCTCTTTTCAATCGCTCCGCTGCTTTTCATGCTGTCAGTGCTGCTCAGGCTGGAGTACGTCTCGTCGCGAAAGCCGCTGAAGCGACGGCTGCGGCGGCGTCCCGCAGAATCAAGAGAGCGTTTGACAGCGCGTCTTGATGGCCGCTTTGGATGGGTCGTGCCGATCGCTGTGAGTGACACGAGGTAAGGTGACAACACCTCACACTGACACGTCCACAACAGCTGCTAGCATTTTTCCTAGCAACGATTCGCTTCGTCGAGCCTCACAAGGTCGCCGTCAAGGCTTCGGTGGGCTGCCACCACACGGATGAGCAGGCTCTTTCTATCCACCTTCTACAGCTCTCGTATGCTCTCTCTCGGTCCGGTCAAATTCTGCAAATGTGGCACAACGTCCAGTCTAGATCATTTGCGGGCAGCTTCAAGCTTTCGGTGCTTCTCACCTTTTTTGCTATGGTCATAGGCACTAGTATTGATCACGTGGAGATCATCGGTGGCTGGAAACCAAGCCGCGACGACATCACCTTAAGCGATGTCGAGGACTGGCTCCTGGCCGTCGTACTTCTGTACCAAGCGCTGTCCTTCCCAGGCGTTCGACAAGATGCGGACGACTACAACAAGTTATGACCCAAACGCGTAATGGTGTAACATCAAGAACTCTATCATCAGTCTTTCAAATGGGTAGGTATCTTAGTATCCTGGTACGTGCTTTTTCATATTATGCTGATATTCTGTTCATGCTGATTGAGATCGTGGTGTAGGATAAGACGCAACTTTTTCAGATCGTCACACGCGCAGAAAAGATGGGGACGCGTTCTCTGACCACCACGCCATCCCCACTTTCAAATTTCTTTCACTGACGTGCTCATTGCTTACAGTCATTTCTTTTGGCTTGTTCTCAGCTCTCAGGCACGCTACAACCACGATTTTGGTACAGGTAGACTTTTGTTTCGCTCTACCACCCCCTTCAACAACCTGGTCTAAGAGTTGGTCTGTTTTTCACGTACCTCACTTGAAGCATAGGTGATTTTATTCCTTTATTTCTGCCTCTAAAACAGCTCCTTCAACGCACCAACCCCTGCTCTCTTTGTCCTGATAAATTAGGTAGTTCTCTATCCACACGTTCGAATGGTCCATGTCTCGTTGCATAATTCCGGTCGCTTCATCCTGGCACTGCGGAATCCCCTAAAGCACTGCAATGTCACCCTACCCCTACCCGTGGCCCCTGATCTTTTTGGATCATATTTGCGGGAAGCTCTGTTGTCATAACGGTAGCGCGTGTTGCATCGTCAGAAGACATTTTATCAGCAGATAGACACCTGTCTCGGAAGGATGCCCCAAAATAAGGCCTATATCACTCTTAGGGTTAGGGTTAGGGTTACTACGGACTGCCCAGATGAAGCAACCGGGGTTAGGTAACGACACATATATCATTGGAAAGGGTGGAACGAGGGCTACCCGGTCTATTAAGACCAAAAAAGCAGGGGTTGGGACGTTGCAGGAGCTGACCTGGGAGCAAAAAGAAAAAAAAATGACTTATGTCTGGGTGAGGTACGTGAAAAAGACTAACCCTTGGAGAGCTTTTTTGATGGCTAGCTAGAGTGAGATGAGCCAATACCATTGGTACCAAAATCATGGTTCTAGCAGGCCTGAGGGCTGAGAATGATGCAAATGACATAAATCGAAACAATGAGTATGTCAGTGACATAAGAACTTTAAATTGAGGATGGCGTAGTGGTCAGAGAACGCGTCCTTATCTTTCTGCACGTGAGGAAATCTGAAAACCTGGGTTTGGCCCCACACCACAATCTTATATCAGTACAAACAGCATATCAGCATATCAGCATGGAAGAAGAGCTTGATGTGGACCGCTGGTGCACCACCATGTATGCGCATCAGCTTCTGGAGACCATTGGACGCCCCAGCACAACCTTTGTGCTTGCCAATCATGCTCCCCAGATCCAGGACAATCCAAAATACAAGGACTGGATGTATGTGGCACGCTCCTCACTCTATCTTCTGGTTCCCCCGTCACACAAGGCATACATCATCAGGCAGCTACACATCCGTCTGTTTGTGATCCTAGCAAGCAAGTATCCACGGACATTGACGCAAAGACAGCACATAATTACACTATCCATGCTGGTGGAAGTGCTTGAGGAAAGCCATTGCCATTCTGTGCGGGCGCAGGCCCACGGGATGAAGCATCCACTGCAAGGAGAACATTCCCTCCAACTGGACGCACTGCATCCATTGGACAAGACCAATCTCTATGATGTAGGACGGACGGTGGAGGCCAAGGAGATCTACACATTCAAACCCAAGACTGGCAAGACAGGGATGCAGGTGTACAAGATGATCCTCCCGCAGGGGAAAGGGCATAGGAGCATCGAGTGCATTGTGCAGCACAAGCAGCAAGGACTGAGGGTCAAGAATTATCCGCGCTACGTACACATGATCAAGGCCAAAAAACATCAGTACAGCCGTATGGGTCTACGGATGATGGGCACGGCCAAGACACGGCTGCGGGCAGTTGAGTATTTTGTCTCTGCTATGGACTAGTACCACCAGCTGGGTGGCTACCGGGATAGAAGTGTCAGTGAGGGCAGCGACGCTGTCTGAGGCGCTTTCTATTCTGAAGAAGTAGCAGTTGCTGATGCTGGACAGCTGGGATAACTGGCTGTCTAGGTGTTGCTTCACTGTGGGAGAGGTGCGTGGCAATGTGCTGACGATGCTGGGGTATGCGTGGCGGCAGAACATCCTGATGGGGCGGGACAAAAAGAAGATGGATGATCTGGAAAGCAGGCAATTTGCGCTGAATGATAGAAGCACGCACAAAGTTGGCGAATACGGTGATTGACAGAGATGTCGTCTGCAAGCGCCTCTAACTCAATGACGAGACGCTCTTGCGCAATTCCATCTTGCTCGCGGCCCACGACAGGTAAAGATCAAATTGATCCGAGTGGCAGACGCTGGTGTCTGCGGCGTCGGTGGAGCTCTTCACAAATACGGACAACGGGTGAAGTCAATCGGAAAGGCAGCGCTGGCGTCGCAGTCAACATTGCCAACGCTGCCATCCGACTTGAACTTAAGCGAATGCAAGATAGCCGCCGACGCCAATGCGAGGCCCATCGGACACCGAAGTCGAATCCCAAGTGAGGCCTCGGCGATCCGTGACGGGATTGATCAGGTTCCGGTTAGAGCAAGATAAAATTTGAGTCTAGTTTAGGTTCAGGACTGACAATTAAAGCTACCTTCGAGCAGCACCAATGACATGTCCAGAGCGTACCGACAGTGGCGATAATAGCAACAACATCAACTCGAGTATCCCCTTCAGCATTCTTATCGGCGCGGCTTGAACGCTTGCTGCTGCTGCTATGGGGAAGGTGTAGCGTCACCCGAGTGTTTCTTGAGCTGAGACATATGCAGACCTCCAATACAAAAAAAGTCTTCTGAAGACCATACGAGAATAGCTCAACCCAACGTGACGATATCTGAAGAATTGTTCTTAATCTGGCAGATGCTGTGTTTTGGCAATGCTGCTACTGCAATCTTGTCTCAAGACCAGAACAAGCAAGTATTATCAAAGTGCATCTGCCCAGAGTTGGTGGCATAGTCTCGCTATTCGTATATTCCAGGGATCGTGCACAGATGTCACTCAAGGAAAAAACGGTTCTATTTCATTCTGCATGTATGATGTGGTATGATGTACCTTGAGAGGTTCGAAAAGGGACTGTAAGCCTGCTGCGAATGGAGATCGCAGGCAGAGAGTATTGGCAATTTGGCAGAAAGATGCTTGAATAAGGTCGAGAGAGGACCCAATGACAAAGAGTAGCTTGTCGTGTTGAGCTCGAGAAAGTTTGCACCCACAATCAAACGCTTTTGCCTTCGATCCATCGACTAATATTTTGATGAGTGTTGAAGATACTTCAACACCAAGCAACACTCAAAGACAGGCCGTCTCCGGGGTTTGAAAAGAGTTCTAGCACCGAGTGCTAGATACACATGATTTTCGAAAAAAGTCTCTCTTCATCAAAATTGCATTTCATCTAACCCAGAGAGTGTGATCGATCCATTACGCTACCAGAAGTTTCATATAGGAAGAAGCTGTACCATAACATCAATAGTCCACAGTTATTATTTTGTCTGCTGCATAGTATTTAAGAATCAGTTCGTGGGCCATAATCTAAATGGAGAGCTCTGCATCACCAGAAAAATGTTCGGACTTACTTTGGCAGCCTAGAGAATTTAAGAGATCTTCGAGGGAGCCGGACTGTGTTTTGATCTGTGCTTTGGCCTGATATTTCACGAGATACGCCTTTTTTGAAACCTTGTTCCCTTTGTCTCCCTTGTTCCCATTGTTCCCCTTGTTCCCCTTGTTCCCCTTGTTCCCATTGTTCCCCTTGTTCCCATCGTCACCCTTGTTCGCAATGCTCCCATTGCTCTCGTACTGATCTTCGTATTATCATTTCCATCGTTCTCACTGTCTTGACACAACTTGCGATGGATACGACCAAAGCTATGTCCCGCAACACATGACAAATGGCTTATTTTCGGGAAATGCAATCCATCGAAATGCACCAAAATAAAGGCGACACGTGAGAAGCTCTCAGTTCTCGGCCGAAAGACCTTCGTGGAATTATCGATGGGAATGCGAAATAGAATCTCAGCGAGGAGGGCCTAGGATCTGGTTTGTGCTGTCACGTGCGGCTGCAAATTTCGCTACCGGTAACGGCTTTGCGTAGAATTATTGCGATGCTGTTGAACAAGCGAGTATGCGGTTGTCAAATGTAGGTGCGCTGAGACCAGCCAATACTGTCCCTCTTTCAAACGCTCACTACCTCTTTACATCTTTTCCCCACTAGAGCTTCGGCCGGGTGGCTGGAAAGTAAAATCGCCTTCGCGGCGCCATCGCTTCTCTGTTTGGATTTGATCTCTTTTTATCGCGCCACGCCTACTAGTCGTACGATGTTTGACATGCGTTGGAGTTACAGAAGTCCACGCCACCGGTTTCTCGGCCATCCGTCAAGTCTAAGAGGTCATAATCTATAGTCTAAACGTACTTCCCTACTTCACATGCTCACTTTTCGTTCAAGGTCTGGCGACGAAGGTACCCTGAGCATTCTCGTTTGCTCAGTGTAGTTGCGCTTACCTTTCCAGGTTTTCTTTGGCTTTTCCACATTCCACATCACCTTTCCGGCAGCGCGCCCCGTATGACGAGCTTGTTGTCGCTAGATGGCGGAGTCGAAGAAATTGGATGCGGTCAGTGTCGCTTCCATTTACTTATGCACAGCTGTCGTGGCGATCTGAGCAATCTATTGACCGACTGTCTACACTCTGCGACTGATGACACCAGATAGCTTCTCTTACATACCACTGTAGCTTCTGCACTCAACTGGAGCTCCACAATGTAGTGTCCGCCTACATAAAGGATGAACTCGCCTATGGTAAGGTTCTGCCTGTCCTTCTTACCATATCGCCGTCTTGCTGATCCTCATCTCCGCGAACACTATAGCTACGCTCTTTCTCATGGCGAAACTTTGAGACTGTCAGTGAAAGCAAAGGCGACCTTGACAAGCAGACAGTTGTCTTTGGAGAGACCCGGCTTTTATGCAGGCCCTGACCATCTACTGCGCTTTGATCTGGGCGTCTCACAGCTGCTTTGGCCTAGTCCTACAGAAACGAGATCGAAAGGAAATGAAAATCCTGACGCCTTTCCGGTGATGTCACGCGTCTTCCACAGCTCTTCCACGTGCCCATTATATCTCCGTCCTGCTCTACGAATTTACAGATTGATTCCCGCTCTCGCATAAGTCTCGACGTCGCAGCGAATGTTC